GGGTATATTTGTAGCAATAGCCAAAAATACATTGTATGGGTCAAAATGATTGATTTTTATTTTTTGCACCCTCAGATTCCATATATTCAAATAGTTGTATCTCGGCCAAATATTGTCCTATCATAATAAACCATACATCAATGGAAAGCTTATTTATTCAGCTTTGAGATGGTGTATAAATCTCAATTTCAAAAAATTGACTTATGACTGGTTTTGTGGTCCAGGGTCACATATAGGACCCTATGAAAACCATTTTATTTTTACCCAAATCCTGTTTTAATTTTTTTTATAAATTCCATTTTTATTCCATGAAATTTTTCTGTGTCTAATTTTTTTTTCCAGTTTGAATTTTTCTGTACTCCTTTTTAATGGTTAAATTTTATCAAAAAAAAAAAAGAAATCATGGAACTTATACAGTTTAACAGCAATTTATTATTATTATTATTATTAAGTTTAACAAAAATACATATTTAGGGCCCTATGCAATCTATTTTATTATAATTATTATTATTATTTTCTCAATTTCTGTGTTTTCCATTAGAATGTTTCTGGATTCCATTTGAATGGTTTTATCAAAAACATATCTAATTAATTAAACTCATAAAAACAACTTAATTTATTAATTTGTTTAAAATAATAGGGCCCAATAATGTTTAGTTTTTTCAGAAATTATGTGTTGTTTATTTAAATTTTTCTGGTAATCAAATGAAGGCATAAAACATGAATTTATCTTTTAATGAAATGAATATTATACAAACCCTTTCATATTTTTGTCGAAACAAAGTGCTGCACAACAGAGGTTTAATGTTAAAATCATGGAAGAGAAATTGTGTGATTATTTAAAAACGTTTTAATTACGTTTAAATAATAATTGTATTATTATTAGTAGTAGTAGTATTACATTAAGACAAACATTCTTTAGTACAATAATATATTTCTGTCACAATTTCTTCAACTTGAATATAACTTTTATTTTGTTGGGTTACTGTGAAGACCTTTAAGTTTCTGTGTGTACGTGATTAAACAATAGTTTTTTTGTAGTCATATAGTGAGACTGCAGAGGCCGCAAACATAACTCAGGTTTATAGCAATTTATTCTTGACAAACCACGTAAGCCATATTTAAAAAAAAAAAATGTTGGGCTGGAAATGCAATATGTAAAAAAAAATGATAGGATTCTCACCTTCCATTTACTTTTGGCAAAGTTCTTCTTGATCTGAGCGCTGACAGACTCGTGAATGTTCCTGTCGAGAGCCGTGTCTCCAGAAATCCTTCAAAATTAGAGATGAGGGATGAGTTACTAATGCAATTTTGTTGAAAAGAGGAGAAGGATATTATGATCATAGATTAAGTCAAAAAATAACACTTTTTTTTTTAGGTAATCCTACCATGGGTGCTGTAAAGCCTGTTCACATGTGTATCTCAGAGTCGGTTCTTTCTCCATCAAGTGACTGATGAAATCCTTGGCTAGGACGGGATGTGATCGATAATATGTTTGTCAAACAATATTCAAGCATTAAGAAAGCATTAAGAAAATGCCCAGGATTGAGCTCATCAGTAGTTTTGAGAAGGTTTTTCTTCACTATTGGCAGACCAGTCGCATTATATAAGAATGAACTCAGTTTAACATTGTTCCATCACTAATGGTATTTTTATTTTTAAAAACCTGCTGTTGAGCTCAGTTGGTGCAGTCATTTGAATCAAGAGCTTGTCAAAATGATGGTACTGGACTATTATTACATTATCATGACTGAAGATCTACCTGAGTCAGAGATGTCATCCCAGTACGGAGAGTCAAACTCATACTCTGCTCTGAGAATCTGCTCGAACAGCTTGGCGTCATTTTCATCGTAAAATGGAGGATAGCCACATAAGCTGCAAAAGACATAGCTTTGTAATAACAACAAACAGACTGTTAATTATCCCTCTTATTAGTTGGCTAATCATAAACAAACAAATAAATCAATATGAAAGATACAAACTTGAAATTCTGACTTTTTTTTTCTCAGAACTGCATTATATAAACTCGCAATTCTGAGAAAAAAAAAAAATCTGAATTGTGAAATATAAACAAAAAAAAAATGTCAGAATTGCTAGATACAAATGCAATTCTGAGAAAAAAAGTCAGAATTGTGAGTTTACATCTCGCAATTCTGACTTTAGTTCTCAAAACTGCAATTATAAAATGGATGGTTCCGGTCCTTGATTCTGATTGGTTGAGCTGCGTTCAAAGCTGTTGTAAATTACACTACAAACATACACCTTCGTTTACTTCTGTGTGTTGCACGGCAACCACTTTGTTGGAACCACAACTGTTTCTGAGGAACTACATTGTTTGGTGGAAGAATACTGTTTTTATTTATATCATTACACTTTATTTGCTCGGTTTTTTTCTGTGAAACCTGACTACGTATATGGAATATCCATTTTATAAAAGCAATAAGCCCCGTGAAGCTGTGGTTTACAGTGAATTTATAACAGCTAAGGCGTCGTGCCTAACAATGCCCCTTAGTTGTTATAAACTGTAAACCACGGCTTCTTGGGGCTTATTGCTTTAGTTTATATCACGCAATTCTGAATTTATAACTCGCTATTCTGAGTTTATGTCTCACAATCTGACCTCCTTTCTCAGAATTGCTAGCTTTTATCTTGGAATTCTGGCTTGGAGTTTATATCTCACAATTCTGGAAAAAAAAGTCAGAATTTGCATCACGCAATTCTGAGAAAACGGTCTGAATTGCGAGACATAAACTCGCAATTGTGAGAAATAAATCAGAATTGTGAGATAAAAAGTCGCAGTTTCTTTTTTATTCAGTGGCGGAAACAGGCTTCCATAGAATTGACCATACAGAAAAAATTATTAAAATACATTTAATAAATAAATGATTTAAATAAAAAAATTCATTCATATAAAAAATATATATATATTTAAATGCACAAACAACATGTTTTTGATATGACAAATACATAAATAACTAAATACGAAATATTGATTTAGATTGAAATATTGATTTATGCAAATTCATTATACATTTTTTCCTAAATAAATAAATGAGAATTGACCATAAATGCAGTACAAATAATTAAACAGATTCAATACATTAAATCAAACTAAATAAATTCCTATAAAATTGACAATCAATCAATACACACAAACAAAATTGTTGTGATATGACAGATGCAGATCAAGAAATACTCACAGGATATAAGAAATCACTCCTATGGACCAACAGTCTACAGCTTTACTGTATGGTTTTTGTGCCAAGACCTCTGGAGCTGATTGAGAGGGTGGGAGAGACAGAAAAGCTTTCAGTGTTTCTTTTTCTCTGTTTAGTTCCCTTTCCTTTTGAGCTTTGTAGAGAATGAGGGCAGCATCAAAGAGGCACTTTAAAATGCTAGCACTTGACATTGTATGGCATTCCAAATGACTGCGAGCCTCTAAAAACCGACACATTACTGACCCTTGCTAAAGACGGTAAAATAGATTGAAAAAGGCAGGAAAAATAGCCCTCATTCGTACCTACGTATCCAGGTGTCCCACAGGCAGTTGACATCACACTTCCCGAGTCCTCGATCTTAGACAGGCCAAAGTCACTGATCATGATATTGGAGTCCTCTTCCATACTGTAGTACAACAGATTCTCTGGCTGCACAGAAAGAGAGTGAATGAATATCAGCTGAACGTAATTTCCCCCGAATCACATTAAATCAATACCTTGCTACATTTATGGACATCCATTGGTGCACTCTTTTCATATGCATGATAACACTGTGTTATAATCAGACTTGACAACCGTTCCATCACATACCTTCCATGTTAATTTAAGTTTTTCTCAGGACCATCCATGACAAACAGCACACAACAGGACATTTTATTGGTCACTTGGGCTATGTTTGGAATACAATACGACTATAAAACTCTTATTATTTCTATAAAAGTCCAAAAGCAATTTTTTTAATTTTTATTATTTAGCAAGGATGCATTAAATTCATCAAAAGTGGCTGTAAAGATTTTTATAATGTTACAAAAGTTTTCTATTTCAAATAAATCCTGTCCTTTTGAACTTTTATATTCATCAAAGAAACCTGAATTCAAATATGTATCATGATTTCCACAAAAAGTTTCAACACTGATAATAATAAGAAATTACTTCAGCACCAAATCAGCACATTAGAATTTTGTCTAAAAGATAATGTGACACTGGAAACTAGAGTAACAACTAGGGAAATTAAGTTTTTCCATAAATTACATTTTAACATACACTAAAATAGAAAACAGTTATTTTAAATTGTAATAATATTTCATAGTATTAGTGTTTTTACAGTATTTTAGCAAATAAATGCAGTCTTTGTGAGCTGTTTTAAAAATCGTACCCACCCTAAAATTCTGAATGAATTTTTTGAGTGAATATATTGTCATATTTTCTTGCCTTGACTAGCAAGAAACCTATATTAAAAATACGAAATAACTTTTTTATTTAAGAGATGGTAACTGGATTACACATACTTATTAACCTTAATGTTATGAGGTTGTGTGACAGCAATGTGGCATAATACAGTTTAAAACATTCAACATATTTGCACATATTTAACATATATACTGCTTTGGCATACTTTTAGAAAAATTAAAGGTGCAGTATGCAGTACTGTAAGCATTACACTTGTATTCCATTCCAGCCTATTTCTGTCAAGTTTTTTTTTTTTTTTTTTTATTATTAGAAAAAAGATTGCATACTGAATCATTTTCACATTACGCCTGGTTAGAAAGGCAGTGTGTAATTATATGGAAAGAATATGTAAGCATTACCTTCAAGTCTCTGTGCACAATTCCCATATCATGCAGATACTTGACTGCATCTAAAATCTGCCGAATGAGTTTGCTGGCATCTCTTTCTGTGTAGAAGCCTTTTTCCACAATCCTGTCAAAGAGCTCTCCCCCCGATACGCTGTGAAGACCCACACACACAAACTACAATTAGCGCCTCTACTATAATCACACAAGCGTTCAATTGACACTGCAGATTAAACCAACATCAGCCAGTATCTTTTACAATGATTATGGTTGATGTGGTTGCGAGTGCTGAGAAAAACTCACAGCTGCATGACCAAATACAAATGCGACTGACTTTCGAAGATGTCTTCCAGTGAAACAATATTCTCATGTTTTATTCTGAAAAAGAAAAGAAAACAGCAATGATTAGAATCTAAACTGGCAATCAGACTTACTATTTCAGCTGATGGACAGTAAAATGGCTTAAGATCCTTACATTAGGGACCAGAACTTGTAGGATCCAACTTGCACAACCTGCAGATTGATATTTTACATTGTGTATATTGATTTATTTCACTATAAGGCAGTGTTACTTTTGTATTATTTTTATACTGTTATATAAATATTTTATGTTTTCAGTTTTTATTTTAATTTTAGTTTGTCTTTTTCGTTTAGTTTTTAAATAAATCGATATAACTTTAATTTAATTTCAGTTTAACAACTTATTTATTTCAATTAGTTGCCATAGAAACATTTCTAATTGTTATGTTTTTTAAGTTTCAGTTTTTGAATGAATTAATGAATGAACAATTGAACGAATGAATGCATAAATAAATAAATTAATTTATTAATTAATTTATTTTATTTGCCAGGTGTGCACAAATACACAGTGAATTTTTTTCATTTTTTTTTTTTCATTTTTTTTTTTCATCTAATTTCACATTTATTTAAATACTGAAAACTATTTTTTAATAATTTTAGTTTTAGTTTTTTTCTTTTCTTTGGATTTCTATAATCTAATTTCAAATTTATTTCAATACTTAAAACTATTTTTTAATCATTTTAGTTTTTTTTTTATTTTATTTGGATTTTTATCATCTAATTTCAAATTTATTTAAATACTGAAAACTATTTTATAATAATAATAATAATAATAATAATAGTTGTTGTTAACAATAACGACACTGCTGTGAGGAAATGTAATATGCATGTGAAAGTCATTGCATTGCTCTAAAGATCTTTTTATGCTCTATTCATGATGGCTTTCCTTCCTTCTTCCCTATTTTTAATGCGCTTTCTCAGTCACCGGCTATACTCAAATCAGACATTAATAACATTTCGCTCTATCTCTATTTGACTTCCACTCTTTTGGTTTCCTGCCTTCCGTTTGATTACAGTTTTTCACACCAATGGTGGGATTCTCTCTCTCTCTCTCTCTCTCTCTCTTAATTCTATCCCTATTCCTCCTCTTTGGTCCCTTTCTTTCTTTCTCTCTTTCACAATACTGCTGCGGGGAACCTCCATACCATCTCAGCCTCTGTGTGTGCTGTTGCCCTGGCAACAGAGTCACTAAAAATAGGACTATCTCCAGTACTCTTGACATTTCCGGTACACACTTCTACGATTTCTAAAGCTATAGCACATTTTTATGGCACAGATAGCATTCACAAGAGCGTTTCTTCTCTCAAAGAGCAATTTGGCTTTTAAGAGGAAAAGGAAGAGACCTTTCAGCATCTTAACTGACAATTATCCTTAACACTACCTCACAAAGAGAGTCAAGCTCTCGGCAGCATCCGTCCTATATCTGCACACAAATCATGACATGGTTTCGCTTGATCTCAAACAGTGCTGTTATCTGTTATTGGCCTTGTAATCAAAGAGTTCAGTCCCAAATACTATGGTAAAGGTGTGCTGCAGACGACAGGTTTCCTCTGTTTGGCTTTCTCCATATATGATAAATACATGCTATCCTGAATAAAAAAAATTAACAGCTTAAACCAGCCAAAGGCCAAGTTGGACCTCAGCTGGTTTAAATGGTTGATCTGCCAGCTGTCCATCTTGACTATCAAGCTAGATTTTTATGCTGTAAATCATTAGATAGCCAGTTCTGACCTGTGTAGCACAGCAATCTCATTCTCAATGCTGTTCTCCTTTCCCTCCAACGCTTTCTTAGGGATGCATTTAATGGCCACGAGTCGCTGGGTCTTCTTCTCCTCAGCCAGGAACACCTCAGAGAACGCACCTCTGGAGGACAGGAAAGATGGAGTTAGTGCTATTAGATATTTAACTTGCCCCAGTGGACCTCTAGGTTATTGTTATGAAAGCAGACATAAACCAATATATTGGCCAGAGCTGCATTTCCCAAAAGTAAGTGCACCCACGGTCTCTACGATCTAATTAGTTGATCGATATTTCAAGATTATTAACATCAGTCAGTAAGCATAATCAAATTTGATTATTTAAAAATATATATATTTTCGATCATGGTAATTGTAAATATTAACGATACTGATTACATTTAAATGTTTTAAAGAATTGTAAATATTTATTGTAAATAGTACATGATAAAAACTGCAATTGCAATTATTATGTGTGTTAAGTTTGCCACCAATATTTGATATAAATCTGGGGTTTGCCAGAAATATTTATATACAGTTAAGAATAACAACCATAAAATAACATATAGGCTACCTTTCAAAGGTTTGGAGGTTTTTTTTTATGTTTTTGAAAGAAGTCTCTTATGCTCATTAAGGCTTCATTTATTATTATTCAAAAATGTATTAAAAACTGTAATACTGTGAAATAAATATATTAATATAATATATTTTAAAATGTAATTTATTCCTACGATGCAAAGCTGAATTTTCAGCATCACCTTCAGAAATCATGCTGAAACATTTCTTTTAATAAAGTTTATAATGAATATAAAGCTTAATAAACTGCATTTATTGAAAAATAAATCTTTCGTAACTCTATGAATGTTGTTACTGTCACTTTTGATCAGTTTAATGCATCCTTGCTGAATAAAAGTATTAATTTCTTTTAAAAAAACTCAGTAGGTCTAGTGTATCTCTGAACAGCTTAAAAGTTAATGCACATAAGTATTTCTACATTACTAATGGATTGATAGTAAAAGCACTGATGCATTTTTACCCTTCAGCGGTAATTCAACTCTGATTGTGTTGTGTAACACAACACAAAAGGGACGTAAACAGCACTGACGCCTTTTCCAGAGTATTTTTCTTTTTTGTGTGTGTTGTTTGTGCAACAGAAATATTGTGAGAGGCTGATATTTTATCAGGCCAGACTCTTCAGGTGGGAAAGATGAAACAGTACGTCTGCATCCTGCAGAGGGACACAGGTAGTGCCAGAAAAGGACAAACAGCACAAGCTGTTTAATCATCCAAGGAATGTTTCCATGTGTTTAGGCATCTATGTGTGTGTTTGTCCTATTTCGAGCATCTTTTCAGGCTTTTACAGGTTTGTAGACAAAACACATTCATTCTCATTCTCTTCTTTAAACACAAAGCCTGTGTGTTAAAACAAGCACTGTCATGTATAATCTAGCTGTCCCGAACACACACTCCCTTAACTGCCTTCTTAATCACAGAGGGAGCAATTAAACATACAATTTGCCACTAAGGAAAAGAGAAATAAACAAGCCAGAGAATAAATGACAGTAGAGGAAATTTCTTTTCCTCACTTCCAAGACTAAATTTTATATAGTGGTAAAATCCTAATTATGATTTCAAACATTTCATTCTTATTTTAGATGTCTCAAACAATTCAAAAATAGCATCTCCTAAACATAAATACAGATACTCAGCTAACAAAAACACACTCTTAAAAATAAAGGTGCTTCACGATGCCATAGAATAACTTTTTTGTCTAAATGGTTCCATAAAGAACCTTTAACATCTGAAAAAATCTTTCTGTTTCACAAAAGGTTCTTATAGGGAAAGAAGGTTCTTCAGATTATAAGAAGGTAAGAAAGAGATGGTTCTTTAAATAAAATATTTTTTTGTAAATAAAACTCTTTCAAGGCATGTGTAAAACATATAATGAAGAAAAACAAGTGAATTTGAGAATAACAGGAAATTTGGGCTCAGTCATTATGTGTCATGTGTACAATTTGCTGAAATCACAGAAGGCACAGTTTTTTTCTTGCATGCGTGCCTGTCTGTTTCCATGAGGATGATTTCAATTAAAAGGACCTTATAATATGTTGTTGTTGAGATCTCCAATGACCTGGAAGCCATGCTATAGTGAGTCATGATCACAGCAGGGTTGTTTAGTGAGAGAGAGCAGCTCATACAGCACTGCAGCTGTCAACAAACTTTCTACTGGACTCGTATCACAGACTTCTCAGACTGCCTTAAGTGGAAAGGGGGAGGTGTGGGGGGCAAAAAGGAGGTCGGGAAGAAAGAATGAAGGAAAGAAAGAGCGAGTGAGAGGAAATGAAGAGAGCGGTAGCTGTGCTGTTGCCGTGAGACATGGTGTAATTAAGGCCTCCCGTGGCTTCCTGTGGGTAAAGGAGGAGGAAGAGAGGAGAGAGAATGGAAATTAGGAAATGATATACAAGACAGCCGATGTGGGTGTTTGGGTCTGTAAATAAGAAAATTGTGTCGCAGAGACATATAGCTGATGGAATGCCTTACATATGTTACAAGGCCAATCGTTTTCCAACAGCAGCTCTGTGCACTAAAATAGATTAAATCATGCTCATGGTGTAAAGTGTTTCTCTAGTGAGGGGTTCAGAATCATTGAGATATTATAGTTTACATGTCAACAAAAAGTGAAAACAACATCAACAACATGAAAGGAAAAATTACAAACATTCATATTCAAATTAGTTTTATACACTAATGCTTATATTACATTACACTGTTTATGTCGCATGTTTAAATGTGGTACAACAGTGTTGAGAGACTCTTACTGGTCATTTGAAAGCATTATTAGATTAGCTAAAAATATTCCAATTTTACCTAATATTTAAATATGCATGAGGAGGAACAATAAATTATGGGAAATTTGTCTGAATGTGTGGGCCCAGTCATTATGTGTCAATTTTCTGATATCATAAAACATAAACATATTTTTGGTGTTGCATACTGTTAATTCATTGCTTCAATAACTATAAAAATATAAGTAATTTAAGTCTAATTTATTTAATAAGAGCTTAAGATTCTGTCTCTGAATTGTCTCTCTCTATTCTCTCTCTCTCTACACACACACATATACACAAAAACACACACAAATATATTATTTTTTAGTATGTTTAAATCAAATTTTTACAATGTCTAGTAGAGTTATTCAAGTAATACTGACGCTGCATTTCATTTAACCACTGTACCTGACCTGGAAAATAATCTGTGAAGCAATAATCCAGTCATTCAAAGATTTAGTGCCGGAACACTAGACATCTCTCATTATGATTTAACTCCAGGAACAACTCAACTTTTTATCTATCATGCCTTTTGTCTGCCACAATAATTGATCAGGTTAATTTACATTACATTCAAATTATTAAATACATTTTTGTTCTCAGCAAATAATGATAAAATTTATTGATTTCCCTTGTAAAAAAGGCATTTAAAAACTCACTCTGATTCACACAGACTCACTCTAACAAGCTGTGATTAATAATTGAACAAAAATGCAGCATGAGTGGCTCTGTTTTCTTTTTTATGGATGTCTTTTAAAAGAGTAGGTTGTTTGGGGAGCTTTTTCTGTAATTTTAGATTCCCTTAGAAAGCCGTATAGATTTGGCTGTTACTACTGACTGAAAAAAAAAAAACCTCAGACATCATTCCGACCTGACAAAACTTGCTAAATAAAACTGGCCTTCTGGTAAACTAAGTGTAGTCTTTCAAAACACCTTTCTCATTTTGTTTAGGAAGATTGGCTGTTTAAATCAACAAAGAGACCTTTGAAAAAAAACAGCTCTGAATTCTCATTCATCCTACTTCTGTGACACTCACATAAACAAACTTTCATCAAAAAAACTTATCCTGTCACCATAGCAACCAGTTTCCTTTGACCTCTTCTGCCCACTTTGTAAATACGATGAACACTATAAATGACTAAACCAAAAACAAAACAGCAAAGTCAAAGTGATGTTTGAATTCTGTAAGCTTTGAAAAAGCACAAATATAAACAGTCCATTTTGTTTCCCAAATATCACTGTTTTCAGACAGCAACACTGAAAAAACACTGAGAAAAAGTCACAAATTTAAAATACTAACCTCTTGTCTCACAAAAACAGACCTTCTTCTTACAGAAACAAGATAAGCAAACTGTTATTTGTATATATTAGTTAGCGCAATGACTTAAGCACTTACTCATAACATATCAAAACAAAGTCTCCAAAGTACCACCTGTTCTTAATTATGTTAACAGCCATGTACATTTGTATAAACTGTATAAATTACAATATGGAAAACAACCAGAATAGATCATACTTACAGTTGCAATTAACTGTTTTGCAATTAACAACTCATATATCTTTTTATAGCTACTCCAAAACACACATGTACCACTTACTCAAACATTAGTCTCTCGATATATGTAGCAAATCCTGCATAGTCTGCTAAAATTAAAAACTCTCTAGTGTCCAATTGTAAACCATTTTTCATGTTTTATTTTAATCAAAATCCAGGTCTGCAGCTAAGCCAGAGCAGATACAATTTCCCCAGAATAAATCAATTGACTCCACTCAAAGAATTCACGGATAAACCAATTCCATAATCTACTTTAGAAAAGAGGCTTTCTGTCAACATATACAGTTAAATCCTCTGAACAACGCCTTACTGGCAAACTAGTCAAAACCGCATGACACTGTGAAAACAAAGACCATTCCATTTTCTGTCTATAGTTGCATTAATGCGAGATTAATTATACAGTGTGTGGTCTAAGAGTACAGAATGACAGAAATCTTTTGAGCCATCTTTCTAAAGAGAAAAATTGAAATCGCATCATATGACCCCTTTAATACAACTATAGTTATAGAGTCCAGAGTGTTCACTGATCATCTGATGGATGTGACAAACAAGACTGAGTGGCTGACTTGGATAAAAGTGTCTGCCAAATGTTTATATATAAATGTCATGTACAGTAACATTATGCAAATTCCGAAAGTCAAATTGCGAATGTTTGCAAGGTACAACGGGATTCATTTATGAAACGAATTGTGTAAAACCATTCTACCATAAATTGTCGCATTCAATTCAATGCAACAATTTATGTAACACTGTGTCTATACTAGAAGTGACGGACGTCACATTGCTTAAGGCGGTCAGCACTGGAAGTGTCGAAGCTGCAAGTCACCTTAAAGGGACAGATCACACAAAAATGAAAATTCTGTCATCATTTACTAAACTTCACGTGAGTCCAAACCTGAATTTCTTTCTTCTGTTGAACACAAAAGAAGATAGAGAAAAAAGATCTATCTATCTATCTATCTATCTATCTATCTATCTATCTATCTATCTATCTATCTATCATTTATGGCGCTTAATATTTTTGTGGAAATTGCAAAACATTTTTTCAGGATTCTTTGATGAATAGAAAATTCTAATGAAAACCATTTATTTGAAAATTAAATCTTCTAACATTATAGCCTACATGTCTTCTTTAAAGTGACTTTTGATCAGTTGAATGTCGAATTAAGTATTAATTTCTTTCAAGGAAAAAATCTCACTGACCCCAAACCTTTGAACAGTACAGTGTATGTATAATATTTGCAATTAATTGAAATCAATCCAGGATATTTGTAAATAAAGTAAAATGTGTACTCATGTTAAAAGGGAAATTAAAGTGGCTGGAAAAAACTGTTACAAAAATAGAAAAGTGGGATCTGTCAACTAAAGGTGCATTGCAATTTGCCGCAAGGTATCCACCTCTAAACAAAACTGCACTTGGCCAATTTATATATCATTAAAATGGTCTCCTTCTGTTGAGGTAGACATTTCTTTGCCAGAATAAGCTGCAAAGTGGTCCAAACTTTATGTTGAAGGTATAAAGGGCTGAGGTTTTAGGGTCAAGACTGACAATTGCTCCACAGTGATGCTAAGAATGTATCTCTGGTGAGTGTGTAGCATGCACGGCTCCAAAGAAGGGGATTTAACATGAGGCTGGCCATGTGAACTCAAGCTGAAGTAAGCATGCCCAAATGATTATGTTATGCCATCTGAAATAGCAGTCATTCTGGCCGCAGGAGGGGAGAGACACTCATAACAACCCCCTGAAGAACATTATATGCTTGTGTATGAGTCTGTGTGTGCGTGTCTGAAGGTTTCATCACAGCTCTACGCTAGTGACTTTCCCCTCAGCAGTGCCTTGGAGGTTGGTGATGTGCTTCCCACCCAGCATTCGCCGTCCTGCTTCTCACGTGCTTCGTGAAAGATCTTGCATGCGTGTCGCTAAGATTCAGCATGGCAGATCGGTCTGTCCATCTGTTTATCCCTCTCTCTGGCTCCCGTCCGCAGCCACATCGGCCAAGATGCGCCGAACGTGACAGTAAAATGTACACACTCTGCCCACGCACTATAAATATATCTGCAAACATAAAAGGGCTAGTGCACTTAGGGTCGACGAATGCTCTCTTGTCCTCTACTACGACTGGCTTCATGAATAATAGAAGCAGGTCTACACGACTTAAAAACAGAAATGTTGTTGTTGCTTTTGTAGGAAAGCATCTGGGAATAATATAAATGCGAATGTAAATTTAACTAATTCCCAATATTGACAGATAATGAAAGCCCTGCTGCGTGCCACACTGAGGTGTCATTAATCACACCCGGCGAAGTGAGAAAAAAAAGCAACTGCTCCAACAGAAAATGGATGAGATCTGTTTCTGATGCCACTCGGTGCCAATATACTCTGAATATTGTTTTCATAATGCCAACATGACATATTGTTATTCTCAACTGACTAAAACAAATGAAGGGGATCTACAGAAGAAGATTAGGAATAAGAATACTTGTTGATACAGTGGTTGCAAGTGTGATTCAACAGTCGGATGGTAGAATGATTTCCATACAGAACTAAAACACTGTGAAGACCTGATTTTCCATCATGAGCTTTGTGTGGTTTAAATGTCCTTTTCGTAGTGTATGAAATCACTCAAACCAAGATTATTATCGTTGTTAATTGAAATAAATCTAAAATAAAATATATTAGAGCATAAAAAGCACAAAAATGACTAAAACAGAAACTGAAATAAAAATAAATTAAACCTAAATAGTAATGAAAGCACAGAACAAAATGACTAAAAATTTAACTAAAATTCAAATGAAAACTGAAAATATAAACATAAAAGCTAATTCAAAATATTAATAAAACTATAATAGTATAAAAATAATACTAAAATAACACTTGTTTCTGGCCACTTTCATTGTAAAACAAGCAATGAATTTATCAAACACTCACGTCCCCAAGACCTCCTTGAAATCGTAATTTTCCTTGATGTCAGTTGTCTTCTTTTTCCATCCATTTTCATCATCTCCTAAAGGCATTGTATAGTTGATTTCCACTCAGGAACTTCAAAAAAAAAAACAGAAGTAGAGATCAATGAATAAATCAATGAAAGTCAATTCAATAGAAAATTAGACATAGAAACAGAAAAGAGAAAACAATGTTGCAAAAAAACTTTATCGCTCTTGGTGTGAACGGGGCTTAACTATAAAGATAATGATATAGTTCTTAAAATCGTTCTCAGTATTAAAGAATAGCAGAGTCCACACCACAACTATAACGATAAAGGCACAGAGAAACGATATCTTTGGAATCACTTTCAGACCGATTTTTTCCAGCTGATGAACGATAAAAATATTGACAGCCAATCAGATTCAATCTTGCTGTCACGAGCTTGAGAATTTAAAGCAGCAGACGAGCGTGCGCTTAGAAACAGACGATATATCGTTCGCTGGTGTGGACGCTAATCTCTTTATCTTTATAGTTATCGTTCTTGGTGTGAACGGGCCTTTATTCATTGTAATCTTTGTCATCTTTAAAGACATTTAAAATAGATAAGCACTGGTCATATAAGTTTGACTGTTGTAATTCTGGAACTTATACAAATTTTTTTTTCAAAGGTCACACCTTCTTTCACTGACCATTTGTTGACAAAGAACAAAAAATATCGGCTCAGTTATACCCTGTTCGTAGAAACCAAATCAAAGGTGGCAAAATAACAAACAAGATTCAGCAATCCATTAAACTTGTACATACAGTATATACATCAAATATATCATGCATATATCATAACTTTTATCCTGTCAACATTCAGTTAAAGTACAAGTTAGATTTTTCAGATCTGTGCAACAAAGTACAAAAAGTACGTTTATTGTATTATTTTTTGATCTGGTACCAAAGCAATGCAATGGTGTTTTAACATGTATATAGTAATTCCATGCTATACCATGGAATATTAATATGACAATCATTCAAATCCATGCTATACCATCAGTACCTTAGTACTACCACATTACTTTTACCAAAGGAATACACACACGACGAAACAAGGGAAAAATCAGCTATGAACAGTTGTTCCACAGATAAATTGTAAACATGCACAAAACCCCTTACCAATATCTGAAAGTGTTCCGCATCTCGAGTCATTGAACAAGCAATGCGCTATGCCAGTGGATGCATAGCCTATTGTTCGTGTATCAGTGTGTGTGTGTGTGTGTGTGTGTGTGTGTGTGTATTCAGACACTGCGCATAGATGCGCATGCAGGAGTCTGTTGCTACCTGCACTAATAATCTTCTAAGAACAGACAACGAAGCATTAACATGAATTGACTGGAAACAGATAAAATGTTTGTTTTAAATCGACGTTATCTTACACAGAATCCTAATATGCAACATGGACTTGTGTATTAACCACATCATGCATGAAACCTTGCAGTGGCATTGCAGAAGATTCTGATACTATATTAAATCAGTTCATACACTTTTACAGCTGACTTCGAGGAAAACTTCAAATAAATGTGATACCTGATCGTCTGCTCCTACGGACGGATGATCCTCTTCTGCCTCTTTATCTATCCGCAATTCTCTTTTGATGCAATAGTTGCGGGATCTACCCTGACGTCAAGTAGCGACTGGAGGAGGCGTCTTTCATTTGACAATATATTGATACAGTCCGGATACTATGATACTATTCCCAAGAGCCATTCGCAAAACCCTATAGATTTATAAGCTATTAAGGTTTGTAAGTAGACGAGTTTTGAAAACGCCTGCTGGACCACAATGACAGGACATTAAAAAATGACAGTCAATACATTAAATAAATAAATAAATATCCCCTCAAAATAATTTAAAACACGTACATTTGTGTCACCTTTTTGTACATTTAAAATTTTGTCTGATGTTTTTATATATATATATATATATATATATATATATATATAATTTATTTATG